GGGGCTCGATCCCATGACCCTGAGATCATGACCTGAGCTGAAGGCAGAGGCTTAACCCACTGAGCCACCCACGTGCCCCTGGAGTCATTTCTTTTTTTCTTTTTTTTTTTTTTTTAAAGATTTTTTTTATTTATTTGACAGAGATCACAAGTAGGCAGAGAGGCAGGCAGAGAGAGACAGGAGGAGGAGGCAGGCTCCCTGCTGAGCAGAGAGCCCGATGCGGGACTCGATCCCAGGACCCTGAGATCATGACCCGAGCCGAAGGCAGAGGCTTTAACCACTGAGCCACCCAGGCGCCCCTCATTTCTTTAGCCCAGTACATTTTGCTCTCATCTGCTCTCATATATTACATTTCTAGATTATTTGCCCAATAGTGTACTACATATATATTGTTTTATACAATTGCTTTGAAAATCTTTTAAGAGAAAAAAAGAAACAAATTAGTATATACTGTCTTTTATAATTATATAATCACCCTTACTTGTGCCCTTTTGTGTGCGTGTGTGTGTATTTGAATTACCATTTGGAATCACTAGCTTTCAGACTGAGGAACTTCCTTTATTTAGTATTTCTTGTTAGGCAAGACTGCTACCAATGAATTCTCTCAGTTATTTTTTTAAAAGATTTTATTTATTTGACAGAGATCACAAGTAGGCAGAGAGGCAGGCAGAGAGAGGGGGGGAAGCAGGCTCCCTGCTGAGCAGAGAGCCCGATGCAGGGCTTCATCCCAGGACCCTGAGACCATGACCTGAGCTGAAGGCAGAGGCTTAGCCCACTGAGCCACCCAGGCACCCCCTCTCAGTTTTTCTTATTTTAAATGTTTAATTTTTTATTTGAGAGAGAGAGCACAAGCAGGGGACAGTCAGAGGGAGAGGGGGACGCAGACTCCCCACTGAGCAGGGAGCCCGATGCGGGACTCGATCCCAGGACCCTGTAATCATGACCTGTGCTAAAGGCAGATGCTCAACTGACTGAGCCTCTTTTGCTTATCAGATATGTTATTTCACATTCATTTGTTATTATTTATTTGTTTATTTTTGAGAAAGAGAGAGAGTGTGGGGAGGGGGCGTGATACAGAGGGAGAGAGAGAAGCTCAAGCAGCTTCCTGCCCAGTGCAGAGCCTGACATGGGGCTCAGTCTCATGAATCTGAGATCATAACCTGAGCCTAAATCAAGAGTCTAATGCTTAACTGGGCCACGTAGGGGTCTCTCACATTCATTTTAAAGCTAGCTTTTCCAGATATAAGATTCTTGGTTGGCATTTTTCATTTTTCTTTGAGCACTTTGAATATGCTATCCTCCTATCTTCTGGCCTCCACTGTTGCTGATGAAAACTCACTTTTAATTTCATTTGGCTTCCCTTGTAAATGACAAGTCGTTTTTCTCTTGCTCTCTTTCAAGGTTTTCTTTCTTTTCTGTGACTTTTAGGAGTTTTTACTATCATACGTCTGTTTGTAGCTCCCTTCATGTTTGTCTTACTTGGAGCTCATTGAGCCTCCTAGATGAGTAGATGAATGTGTTTCAGTATATTTGGGCAGTCTGGGTCCATTATTTGTTCCGTTTTTTCCCCTGCTCCTTTCTTTCCTCTCCTGGTTCTCATTATATACCTGTTAGTGCACTGAGTGGCTCCCCACTTTTCTCTGAGGTTCCATTAATTCCCCTTCGTTCTTTTTTTCCTCTGTTCTTCTGATAATATAGTCTCTATTAATGTATCTTCAAGTTCACTAATTCTTCTGACAGTTCAGATCTCTTCCAGAGCTGTTCTAGTGAATTTTCCATATCAGTTATTGTAGTTTTCAACTCCAGAATTTCCATTGGATGCTTTTTTATACTTTCTATTGATATTCTCTGTTTGATGTGATGTGATGTTTGTCATCCAATTTTACTTATTTAATCATGGTTTCCTTTCATTCTTGGAACATACTCATAATGGCTACTTTCAGGTCTTTGTCGAATTTAGTATGTAGTCACTAACATAGGCAGATTCTGTTGCCTGCTCTTTTTTTTTTCCAGAGTATGAGTCATACTTTCCTGTCCACATACCTGTCTCAGCATGTTTTGTTGGAAACTGGACATTTTAGATAATATATTGTACCAATTCTCTGTCCTTCTTTCTTCTCCCCAGGGCTTGTTATTGTTGGTTGTTTGTTTATTTGTTTGGTAAATGGCTGTATTATTTTAGTGAGGTCTAGTCCACTCTGAAATGTTAAGCATTCGATGTTGCTCATAAGGGAGCACAGCCCTGGCTGTGCACACAGTCACTGTCACCCTTGAATGACAATACTTTTTACAGGGTTTTCTTTGGCTGTCTCTTTCTCTGACCTGACCTAGCCATTAACTGCCAACTAATTGCTCTACTGTTTCCAACAGTGCTCTGGAGCATAAGCTCTTGGGAGATGAAGCCAGTCCATTTCAGATACCTCTGTTGGGCTAATTCCTGAGGTCAATTTTTGAGATTTGTTCTGATCCCAGAGGGGCTCCTCCTAGCTGTCTTTTCCCCCAGTTCTCTCCCACAAACTAGTCAGCCTACAGTTCAGGGTGTATAGTCAATAAATCTGTCAGATTCTTTCCAGTTGCCTTGCATTGTAACCTCTCCTCTTTTTGAGAGTATCCTTAGGCTCAACTGTTTCCACTCTCTGTTGCAAATGAAACCATTCCTGTGCGAATATGTTAGGAGCTGCCTGTTTTAAGGCCTGCTTCTCCCCCGCCCCCCAGGCCAAATCTCTGATCCCTCGCTCTGGAGGTGGGTGAAGTCTCCCAGTAACTTTGTCACTCTAGGAGCTGAGCTCGAGGTCCCAGTGTCAGGCCTTTCTGGGTTGCCGCTGCAGGCATAGAACCGCTGCCTTTGAGTCACAGTTGCCTTGCAAGGGCAATCTGGGAGTCCTGTAGGATTCTTAGCACCCGGGGTAGATCCTTCTTGCCACTGGGAGGGGCTGGGTGCATAAGGAGCCCCCTGCCTCTCAGCCACAGTTGCTTGGACTTGAGAATCAACAGTGGTTAGCTGGGGGTAGGATGAGAAGTGCTGACATCCTGCTCGTCCTGGGAAGATAGCCCTCTGAAGGGGAGCCCCGGACCCTTAGCTGTGCCAATCTAGAGTGGAGCTGAGAGAGGCACTAAAGACACTGTTGCGGTTTAAAATCTTAAGACTCTCCCTATTATTTGTGAATTTTAGCAGATTAACCAAAAAAGATGTTTCCTGGTTTGCTATAGGCCCTTAGGACCAGTTTTTGTTTTTTTAAATTTTTAATAATTTTCACCAGTTTCACCAAGAGGTTAAGTCCACAGAGCTCCTCATGGTCCTATGCTGGAAGTCCATCTCCCCTGCTATGTTTAGGTGATAAATCCGTATTTTATGCGTATGCCTTTGCTAACTCTGCTTGTTTCAAGTTTCTGTTTGCTCTCACTTTTCCTTCACTGTAGCTTTCCTTCCATGTGACCCCCAGTTTTGTTTGACGCATTCCTTATGACCCTTTGATCCCAGTCATAGCTCTGAAATCTAAACAAAAACAATATGAGTTTAAACAGAATTTTATTTGAAATGCATTTGTGCTTATCTTAAAAGGTCTTTTTTCTATGAAAATATAAAATAAGGTATTTTTGTCCACTTCCTGTTTTGACATGTTTTGAAACTTAAATTTTCATTAACTTGCTAATGTTATTTTAATCATGATAATATTTAAGAAGATAATGCTAATATTTATTTATTTATTTATAAGGAGTTTATTTATTTGATAGAGAGGGAACAAGTGGGTTGAGGGGCAGAGGGAGAAACGGACTCTTCGCTGAGCAAGGAGCCAGACACGGGTCTTGATCCGGGAACACCAGGATCATGACCTGAGCAGAAGGCAGACGCTTAATCAACTGAGCCACCCAGGTGCCGTAATGCTGATATTTAAACAGCATCCTGCATTTAGATTTATATTATTTTTTTAAAAGACTTTATTTATTTGAGAGAGTGAGCGCACAAGCAGCGGGGAGAGGCGGAGGAAGAGGGAGAAGCAGGCTCCTCGCCGAGCAGGGAGCCCAGCACGGGGTTCAATCCCAGGACCCTGGGATCATGACCTGAGCTAAAGGCAGACAGTTAACTGACTGAGCCACCCAGGTGCCCCTGCATTTAGATTTAAAATCAGCAATTTCCATCCCACACTGTATTGCAGACCAATACACTTTGCCAGAGCTGAGGAAGGTGAGGAAAGGTTGTGGAAAGAGAACACAAGCTACAGCAGCTCTCAGTGAGGAAAGGGGTGGTAGGACACTAGGGAACAGTAGTGTAGAATCTTGTTCCAGTTATTTTTTTTTTTTTAGGAGAAAATCTTAACCAAGCTACACGCTCAGTGCAGAGTGTGACTTGGGGCTCGATGTAACAACCCTGAGGTCATGATCTGAGCCGAAATCAAGAGTTGGACGCTCAACAGACTGAGCCCCCTGGGTGCTCTCTTGTCCGAGTTGTTCTTAGACTGGTAGTGAGAAACACTTTGGGAGTTGTTTGGGTTGATTTCAAGAGAGTGCGCTTCTGGGCTTGGGCTGAAACAAACACTGCTTTTGCTCATTGCCAGCTTCATCATTTTCCATTTTAATTTGAAAATCTCCATGGAAATTATTCTAGTAAAGAGTTTCATAACCCCTACTTTCAGCTCTCTCTTTGCTTGGTACTCAAGAGCAGCATTTCTCAGTTTTAATATGCCAGAAAATTGTGAAGATTTACTTCCCGTTTTGGTTCCGACCTGAATAATCGAATATCAAAATAGATACAGAAATCATTTAGTGCATTGATTTCAACACAGAAAAATTCACTCCCCTTTGGTAGATTAGAGGAGAGTAGCCTTGATTTTCACGTTTTGCTCTTATCTTTAAAAAAGAAAGAATCTTGTAAGAAGTCGGGGGTCAAGTCATTCTAACTGGGGAGGAAGTAGACATTAAGCAGCCACATGTCCAAGATACCATCAAGGAAAAACCTTGGTGACGTTAACTCTTATGCTTCTCATCTTTCTTACGGGCAGGATATCCAATACCAAAGCTTGACGTGAGCTTTCCGTTGGAGCCTCGGGAAGAAGCGTGGGTGAAGGAACTACAAGAGTCCAAAGAAATGAAGCAATTACTTGATTCTAAGATCGGTAAGTAATTATTCGTGGATACCACAGAAGAGCAAAAAGAAAAATTCAACCTTGATCAGGATAAAGAGTTTGGGATTCTCCTCAAAGTTTCTGCCTTCCTACTGGTGGTTTAATACAACTCTTCACTTTCCTTCACGGTTTTTTCCTCTGTGGGACACGGTGACAGCTGCTGTTTTTGTTTCTTCTTTCAGGTTTTGAGATTGGGATAGAAAATGAAGACGAAACTTCCAAACAGAAAAAACTGGAGAACATGTACCCATTTATTGTTACTCTAGAGGGGAACGCTCTCCACGGTCCCATTTTGCAGAAGGACTATGTACCATTGGAGAATCAGTGGGAGAGCCCCCCAGAGGACCTACAGACAGATTTAACAAAACTGGTAGATCAGCAGGAGCCCTCGGCAGGAGAGAAACCTGAAAATTCCAACTTGGAAGAACCTCTCAACCCCAGGCCCCAAAAGAAAAAGAGTCCAGGGGACAAACCTCACCGATGTCCTCAGTGTGGGAAGTGTTTCGCTCGGAAGTCACAACTTACAGGGCACCAGAGAATTCACTCAGGAGAGGAACCCCATAAATGCCCCGAGTGTGGAAAAAGATTCCTCCGTAGTTCAGACCTATATAGACACCAACGGCTGCACACGGGGGAGAGGCCCTATGAGTGCACCGTGTGTAACAAGCGATTCACTCGGCGGTCGCACCTGATAGGCCACCAGAGAACCCATTCAGAAGAAGAAACGTACAAATGCCTGGAGTGTGGGAAAAGCTTTTGTCATGGATCGAGTCTCAAAAGACACCTGAAAACGCATTCAGGTGAAAAACCTCACAGATGTCACAGTTGTGGTAAAAGTTTTAGTAGACTGACAGCTCTCACTTTGCATCAGAGAACTCACACGGAAGAGAGACCTTTTAAATGTAATTATTGTGGGAAAAGCTTTAGACAGAGACCCAGCCTTGTTATTCATTTGCGAATTCATACAGGGGAGAAGCCATACAAGTGCAGTCACTGTTCTAAAAGCTTCAGACAGAGGGCAGGCCTCATTATGCACCAGGTCACTCACTTTAGAGGACTTCTTTGAGAATCGTTAAAGGCAACAGGCTGCCACAGAGATTGACACTAACTAAAATAAAATAAAAAAAAAAAAAAGAAATTGACACTAACTTAAAGCAGCCTGTTTGTCTTGGAAGAACCTTTTTGTTTGAGCTTATGAGAACAGGTTTTAAAAACTATTCTGAACCCCATCTTCCAAAGTATATGAATTCTAGAGTATCCATCTACCTTTGCAATGTTCCCAGAGTTGGTTTATTCTGTCTCTTATTTTTTTTATTACAAGGAAATGTTTTGTGTCCCAGGCCAACCGTATCATAGATATAAAGCATATAATCGATGACAGTCCTTTTCAGGGTAGTGTTAATATGATGGATAACCGTGTCCATCAATGTATCTCCTATAGCAGCCCCAGAATTTTTCTGCTGTCATTGTTAAAGGCAATTATATTAGTTCAAAGCTTTATGTGTCCTAAGTAGCAAGAAAGGAGACAGTGTATTTTGTCAAATGATAGAAAAAAATGTGTCGGGAACACACGTGCCTGGTAAGAATGGGGTTATGTCCATTGGAAGTTTTTATGTTTAAGGAAATTAAGATTTTAACCTTTAGTTATGAGTTGTGCAGAGTTTGCTAGTCTGCTTAGTTGGTGGTCTGGGGTGATGCTACGTAGAACTGAGTATTTGAGGATTTCTTTTGTTCATGGAGTAAGTAAGCTCTTTGCGGAAGAGTCCATTTGACGGTTGATGTCATACAAGTAGAATCCGATTCAATTTAGACTGACTGAGGAACCAGTGTCCTTTGCTTTGTACTCTCCTTTGGTATTCACCCAATGTGTCTCTCAGTGCTTTTAAAATTTTACCCATTCTTTAATTCAGTGGCCCCCTAACTGTGTGTCGTAGGGCACTTAGTTCTGCAAGATATTTTGCAAATAACTCCAGGACTCCCTGCTGTCTCCACTTTCTAGATTGACAGTGCCCATCAGCCTGTGGGAGTGTCTGAGAGGCCCTCTGGTAAAGGTGGAAAAAAGCACCTCTTTTGGCACAGTGTTTTGCCAGCCTATTTGACCCCAGAACCCTTCGTCATGTACACCCAGTGATAACCCACGGAACTAGTATCCTGCAAATATTCCTTGGAACACACTGTCTTTAACAAATATATCTGTAGCTGTCAGTATAGTCTTGTTGCTCCCAAGCCTAGTTATCTCCAGTTGTTTCAAGGGTGTTATGAAAAGTTCTCTACATATATACATTTTTTTATGTAATACACACATCATTATGGAGGTGGGGGTCACTACTTGAGATAATTTGTACATCGCTCAGTGATTCTCAGCCTCTTTGGAATTTACTTATAACCACACACACATATTCCTACTTATATAAACATTCGCATGTAATCATGGTAATGACTCAAAGTCCTGTAACAAGGGAAGAACTCTCTTTGTCAGTTATAGCTGTTGGTACCTGAAAATAATCATTCAGCCTAGTTCCTTGTTACGAAACACAAGAGGTAGGACGTTCAAGAATTTTCCCTTTTTGAAGATACCAGTCATCCTTTCCCTAATCAAGAATGAGGGAAAGTATTTATATTTTTTCTATTCCATTGAAGTTCTCGGAAGTGATATTGACTATAAATATTTCGGGGGCAACTACTATGTGCCCAACTAGTCCTGTTCCAGGCTTAATGGAAACCAGTAAAGACATGAATCCATGAGTCCGGTTCATAAGGAGTTTATAATATCGTTAGTTAAACAAGAGTTGGGAAACACATGGAGAACAATGCAAGAGAGTTTGGAATTAAGTGCCAAATCATACCAAGTGCTAGAGCCAGGGTGTGTCTTTAATTCTTGTCATCCGGGTCCCTGTATGATGCTGCTATAAGTGTGGGGTTCACGTTGAGATCCCAGTAGCAATAAACACGTAACGTGGGAGGAGTCTGAATGTAGAGATGAACAATACGGAATGTAACGGCTTCTCTTTTCTCTCTTGTGGACTTGCATTCAAACCAGGACAGTGCCTTAGAATGGATGTGCCCAACTGCTCTGTATCTATGCAATATTTTAATAAAGTGGAAATGTGTATGCTCTTCCTGCTTCAGTCATATTTATATAGTGGTTTGCGCAACTCAGGACCGCTTCCCTGAGCTGTGGCGACAGGCACCGCGACTGGCTCCTGCTCCCACCAGTCCCCACCATGGTGCTGGGTTTAGGCATCATTCTGAACATTTAATACAGTCAGTTTTAGCTGGGAGGCTTAGCTGCCATCATCACATGAGCCCCTCCCCCCCCATCTATAGCCTAAACGCACAACTGGATTTCGCTGGTGAGAGAATGTCTGTTATCTATTTCGTTGTTCTAGTATCCTGTATATAACAGGCATTAACCCATATTTGTGGCACTGAGTCAAGAAATAGGTGAAGTAGTTCTTGGAAACAGATGTCCCAGTGGATGTGCCTAATTCTATTTCTGAACGTTTCCAAAAGGTAATAGCAAAATACAGTCCCTACCTCCTCAGTGCCATGAAGGACAAAAACCAGCAGCCACCTCATAAGTGCTCTGAGGGTTAAATGAAATGTTTCTTGTCCAGGCCTTACACAGTATAAGCTTTCAATAGATATTCTGGATATTGTCTCTTCATTCTGTTTGATGATAAAAACACTTAAGTTACAGATTTTCCTCTAAATATGGCTTTAGTCACATTATAGGTAATGTCTGTATTAGGATTTTGCAGAGAAACTGAACCCATGGTGTGTGTGTGTGTGTGTGTGTGTGTGTGTGTGTGTGTAGAGAAAATGAGACAGATTGATTACGGGAATTGGCTCATACAGTCACGAAGATCAAGAAGTCCCGTGATCGGCTGTCTGCTAGCTGGAGAGCCAGGGGGGCTGCTGATACAATTCAATTCTAGTTGGAACATGTAACTCCCAGTCCGATGTGGTAACTCCCAGTCCAAGGTGGGGGGGTCACAGGTGTAAGTCCCAGAGGCTGGAAATCACAGAACCAGGAGCTTTAGTGTTCAAGAGCAGGAACAGGACATCCTAACTCAAGGAGAGAGCAAGGCAATTTGCTCTTCCACCTTTTCATTCTGTTCAGGCCCTTAAGCTTGGGTGCAGCCCACTCACCTGGTGAAGGCAGATCACTTTACTGAGACAGAGTCAAAATGCTAATGATCTCTTTTGGTGACACTTCACGGACAAGTCCAGGAATAATGTTTTACCAGCTCTCTGGGCATCTCCTAGTCCAGTCAAGTTGGCACATTAAATTAATTACCACGGTGTTATTACTGATGATTTCAGAATTATTCATAATTGCAGTTTCCATTATAATTCCTCTTTGATTCAAAGCTATATGATATTGCCATTTTCTTTTTTTAAATATTTTATTTATTTATTTGACAGAGAGAGAGATCACAAGTAGGCAGAGAGGCAGGCAGAGAGAGAGAGAGAGAGAGGAGGAAGCAGGCTCCCTGCTGAGCAGAGAGCCTGATGCGGGGCTGATCCCAGGACCCTGAGATCATGACCTGAGCCACCCAGGCACCCTGCCATTTTCTAACTTTTTTCGTTTTGCCGCACTGTGATTAGAAAATGAGGTTCATCCTATTTCTGCTTTTAAAGTTCATTTAGGGGGAAAAAATCATTTATATTAAAAAAAAAAGATTTGAGAGCATGTGCACGCATGTGCGCATGCATGTGAGAGCAGGGGAGGGGAAAGGTAGGGGGAGAGGGATGGGGAAGCAGACTGCTCCATGAGGGGCTCAGTCTCAGGACGCTGAGACCATGACCTGAGCCGAAACCAAGTCGGGCACCTTAACTGACTGAGCCACCCAGTTGCCCCCATTTAGGTGTTTGTTTTTTTTTTAAAGAGTTATATGGGATAAAATTTGGTTAGTATCCTAAAACCCTGGAAAACCAGGGTTCTAGATGTAAGGCAGACACTTAGAATACAGTCTTGGACCTTTCAGTTACTTTAATATCTTCAGGGGTGTCCTTGATGTGTGTGAAGGGGCAGTGAGACAGAAGAGATTGGCTGGCTCCCCGTTCTGCCTCCCTGCATTTTTGGACCCCCTGTTCCCTCGGTGAAAGGTTTCTTTGCACTATGTTCTGGATGTCATATAGCATTTGTTACTAGGTGCCCAGCTATCAATGTACCCGGTCCCCTAATTCTGGGATTTTAACTACTGGGATTGAAGGGTGGTGGTAGCTGCTTTTCTTACCAGAGTGATGGATATGTTAGTCTCTGTCCAGGCTTTTCCATCTTGCTTTGTCAGACCGGACTTCTCAGAGGTCTTACAAGGCCGAATTTCACATTCTTTGCGGATCGAAAGATATGAAAATAATATTTCTCTTTCCTCCGAATGAGGGAAACCCATCAGAACCCCCAATATACATGAAACACTGATACACAAAATTGAAGTTTTATCTCCAAGGATTGCCTGAAATCCTGATTCATATGTTGAGGGGATTATGTTATTACTCATGTGTTAGGCAGATCCCATCCATGACCCTCCCTCTCCTGGACGCCTTACCACCTCTTCACCTTTCAACACGGCCTGCATTTTGTGTTCTTTTTATTTTTTTTAAAAAAAGATTTTATTTATTTATTTATTTATTTGTCAGAGAGAGAGAGAGAGAGAGAGAGAGAGAGAGAACGCTCACAAGCAGGCAGAGAGGCAGGCAGAGGTGGAGAGAGAAGCAGGCTCCCTGCCGAGTAAGGAGCCCGATTGGGACTCGATCCCAGAACCCTGGGATTATGACCTGAGCCAAAGGCAGCAGTTTAGGCCACTGAGCCACCCAGGTGTCCTTGTGTTCTTTTTAAAATAATTTTTTAAAAAGATTTTATTTAGGGGTGCCTGGGTGGCTCAGTGGGTTGAGCCTCTGCCTTCGGCTCAGGTCATGATCTTGGGGTCCTGGGATCGAGCCCCACATCAGGCTCTCTGCTCAGCAGGGAGCCTGCTTCCCCCTCTCTCTGCCTGCCTCTCTGTCTACTGGTGATCTCTCTCTCTCTCAAATAAATAAATAAAATCTTTTTAAAAGGATTTTATTTATTTATTTGAGAGAGAGAGAGAGAGAGAGAGAGTG